CCAAAACAAAATCAAACCTGGGACAATGGCATCTGCTTGGGGCAAGACACGGAGCTGGCCGTGCCCGACCTCCACGTCAGTCCGGTGCTCACGTCGCTGTACATGGAGCCGCTGGTGCCTTTACTGCCCCAGCAGCACCTAGTGCAGAAAGTCCTCCACGAGTCTAAAGTTTTACCAGACCAGATCCACACTCCGGACGTGATGCCCACCAGAAGGCACATAAAGTACTTTAACATAAAAACTGCATAGTCCGGACTCCTGCGGTCCCTCTCTAATAAACAGTTGGAGCAGTTGTGCGTGATCTCCCAGCTCTGCCTGTTGTGCTGCTCGTAAAAGTAACATGCGACTATGATGGTGGCTGGCACCGTGTAGAGCACCGTGAAGATGCCTATTCTAATCATCAGCTTCTCCAGCTTGTCCGTCTTGGTGCCCCCCTGTTTGATGACGCTGCGGATCCGGAACAGGGACACAAATCCGGCCAGGAGGAACATAGTGCCAATGAATAAATAAATCACCAAAGGGGCCAGAACGAAGCCCCGCAGGTTGTCCAGGTTCTGGTTCCCCACGTAGCAGATGCCCGCCACCGAGTCCCCGTCCACGGAGCTCAGCGCCAGCACCGTGATGGACTTCATGCTGGGGATGAGCCAGGCGGCCAGGTGGAAGTACTGTGAGTAACTGGCGATCGCCTCGTTGCCCCACTTCATGCCGGCTGCGAGGAACCAGGTCAGAGACAGGATGACCCACCAGATGGAGCTGGCCATGCCAAAAAAGTAAATAAGGAGGAAGACCACGGTGCAGAGCGCGGGGCCGGTGGTCTCGTAGTGGATGTGCTCCACGTCGAACTCCCGGTTGCACGCCACTTTCTCGTGCCCGGCTATCAGTCTGACAATGTAGCCGATGGACACGAACATGTAGCACGCTGAGAGGAAGATGATGGGTCTCTCCGGGTACTTGAACCGCTCCATGTCGATGAGGAAAGTGGCGACGGTGGCAAAAGTTGATACGAAGCACAGCACGGACCAGAGTCCTATCCAAAAGGCGGTGAATGCCCTCTCGTCGTGCGTAAAATAGGGGTTGTGGCACGGCATGGCGCAGTTGGTGATCTGTCCCGTTTTGACACGGTTGTAGAGCGGGTGGCGGTCCGTGTTCACCGGCACCATGGGCTCCAAACACTTGCACCCCGGCTCACACGGCGCTGCGGGCGGCTTGTACTTCCCAGGCGCCCCGGGTCGGTTCGGCTTATTCTTAGGTGGATTGTAACCCTTACCGGGGTGGTTGGTGGGTTTGGAGAGGACAGGGGACACTGTGGTGGAGTCGGTTCTGTTGTAGTCCATGCACAGTGTGTCCGGGTTGCCCTGCACAGGCAGCAGGTCGCACTTCATCCTGTCCGGCCAGGGGAAGCCGTACTGCCTCATGAGAGGCGCACAGCCGGCCCGGGCTCTCTCGCACACGCTCCGGCACGGCGGGAGAGGTTTCTTATAGTCCTCCAGGCAGATTGGGGTGTACATGCTGCACAAGAAGAACTTCAAGTCCGGCGAACACTGAATCTCAACCAGAGGCCAGAACTGGTGCACCTCCAGTCCCGCTTCGTCCTGCGTGTCGTGATTAAACTGGTTAGGCATGTAGGTGTAGTTGTAGCCGATCCCCTTGCACAGGGGCACGGCTATCTCCTGGCAGGTGATCTCCTTGGCCGTGGTGCAGCTGGATCGGGGCAGGAGAGCCAGTGAGAGCAGCAGGTAAATCCCAAACAGGTCCATCCCTCCGGCGCGTCGTGTCCCCCCTCTTCTGCTCTGGTACCAACAGCAATAAATCCTCTCCGCCGTCTGCTTTCGCCTCTGGTCCGGTTAGATGTTGCGCAGCGAGCCCATCTCGCTTCTCTCAGGATCTTGCACGGAGTTGCAAGCAATGTGCAAGCCGTGTTTACTTTCAGCTGAGGAGGAGGAGGAGGAGGAGGAGGAGGAGGAGGAGAGAAAACAGCCTTCAGGGCGGCGAGCAACAGTCAAGATGGCTGAGAGGAGAATCCACCTTGTTCTGGAGACTGCTGTCAGTATCCTCAGATAGTCTGTTGTCAGAAGAAACCCCAAGCGCTGCTGTCCGATCGCTACAAACGGGACCAATGTGGGCCTTCTTTCTTTCTTCAAAACACAGCGACTACATTCAGTCGGCTCGTCCCACCTTAGTCCCGGTTCCCATACAAATCAACTGCTTGGAGACGAAGCGGTGCCAATATATACCAAAGCCTGGCAGGCTACACCCCCGGAGCCGCTCCTCCAATCACAGAGCGGCGGGGGCGGTGCCTTCCAGCAGTCAATCACGTTTTTTACCTAAAGATGTTTTGTTATATAGCTTGTGATCGCAATAGTTTTGCCAGTGTCTGTGGCACCGGGATGCAGGATGGAGATCACTGCTCCTCCAGCTCGTGAATTAAACAACCGCACATTGAGGCCAAATAACTACTTCTCTGCATTTGTTTAAGCTCAGAGCCATGACTGGTCTGAAATAAACTATAATAACCCTGTAATGAATCCCCCTCAAACCTATTTCACATAGCAAAACTATCATTTGAAACATTATATAATAATCATCATAATAACATAATTATAAAGACGGTATGGAGTTCAGCAGGCGCTCGGGTAGCAGCAGAATAACAACCTGCTTTTTTCTCTCGCTCGGTGACTGAACTTACTGTTCACAGTCTTGTAACTTCCTTTAACACACCATCTTTGATAGTGTCACAACAATGGTAACATGCACACCAGGCAGAGCGAGGATGCGTCTAGCTCCAGATGATTGTTTCTGTGTGTATGTGTGAGAGAGAGGCCAGTTTGGTAAATTGGCTAATTTGCGCATGATAAGACTACCCAGGGAGCTGTCTGTCCTTGTGAAAAGCTGTTTTATTTTTTAAATGAGGTGCTAATGTTTCGTTTAACGCTTGCATAGAGCTCCGCGGGAGGCGTAATTGCGCGAGGCAAAGACCAAGCTGCAGCTCATAGAGACAGAGCACTCATATCAGTGCTAACATGCCTACAGAGTGTCTGTGGATACACTCATATTATTGTTAGAAATGGTATTTTCTGTGCCTGATATGGTCCTGTAACGTCTGTATGTGTGCCTTTATTAACCTTATGGCATTCTTATCTCATGTGCTGTAGCTATAATACTGGTGACATTGTTAAAATGGCTGTGTGGAACTTGGCAGCAAGTTTATACACACATGATCATATTTTAGGGATCTGTGTATACTTTTGCAGTGGTGGAAAGTAACTAAGTATTTACTAAAGTACTGTACTGTAAGTGCAATTGTGAGGCATGTGTACTAGAATTTCTCCATTCTGTGCTGTGTGTTTGTATTTATATAATAACTATTGTTACTTTATTGATTTTTTCACATACACTAAAATATGATGAGCTTATAAAATATGACACTTTCCCAAAAGTGTATAAGGTAGTTCAACTTAAATTCACCTCCACTCGCTACAAAATTTAAATACTTACATATTCATCCACCAGTAATGGAAATCTAATAATAAAATGTACATTAAAATATAACTTAGGGGCCATTCTGCTGCATAATGAGCACTTCTACTGTTAATACTTTAATGCCTCTGATATGTACTTCCTTTAAGTACAATTTTACATGCAAGAGTTCTCATAATAGAGTATTTTTTACTACTTTTACTTAACCTGAATACTCATATCTAGATATTTATCTAGTGTCCCTCACAAATACTAAAGTGCTTTTGTTCATGAGCAGAACCTATAACTGTTGGAGGTTGCCTTAAATCTCTAACTATTGCTCATAAAATAATAATAAATTCTCATTATTTTACCTCAGAGGGTGAACTTAGTACTAACACTTCTCACTGATAAACTGCACAAAATAATCTTTGTCTTTGATTTTAAAAAGTTGTTTTTACAAACCATAAAACACGCCATAAACTGTTATAAATGGTTGTGAGTATCATTATTATCATGCTCAATGATGCACAATCACGCAGCTTCTGGTAAATCAAGGCAAGAGAAGCCAACCATGTGATCAGCACATCTGTTCGAAACTCGATATTCATTTCACCAACAAGAGCGGTGTGTTTTTTGAATAGACATTTTGTCCTCCAACTGTGCACAAGCTTGCACGTGCACTCACTCTCACACACACACACAAAGTTCCTGCAGAGTTTGGGGCGCTAGGATGCCAATGTGTGGTCTTACAGTGCAAAAAGTGTGTTAAAAAAAGCATCTTCCTCCCAGCTTCCCACCCATGCATAATGCAACATTGTGTGCAGGGGCCGGGGTGTGGTGGTGCTGGAGTTTAAGTTTAGTTGTATTGTGTTTGGAGTGGAGCCAGGTCTTTATCATGTGAGGGAGCTTTTTTATGGCTTCAACCCACTGAACGAATAAAATAACCCGGAGTGAGCAGAGCATTGGGAGAGCAGAGATTGATTAACTGACTCGCTGGTGTGAGATAACAAGGAAGGAGCTCTGTTAATGGCTGTTTGCTTTTGATTAGGAAACAAGAGTTCGGCTAGCCAGCGCCATGGAGTTATGTGAGTGTATTTGTACCCATGGTGGAGGGTGTGATGTTTTCTCAATAATAAACCCCTGGTATTTGAGATGTGTTGAAAAGGACATGCAATAAAAAAGGAGTGAGGGTAAGGTGGTGGTTACAGTGTGGGAGAGTGATGGTGGGAGCAGAGGGAGGATAGACGAGGGCAAGAGAGGGCGTCGAGTCTGCTCTGTGCAGAGATAATGATTTACTCTGAGGAAATCCACTCATCTCCTGTTTGCGACGCAGGGCTGCACGCTGTGAGAAACTATCTCCCCACACTGAAGCCTTAAAGAAACACTCTGTGACCAATGAATAAAATCCAGAATCGTATCAAGATCCAAAGTTAATGTGTTTAATTTAAAGCCCCGTTCTTTCCGTCAGAATCAAGTGCTCCCCACTGAAGAAAGGAAGCCCATCAAGTGTGACTGCCTGCCAGATCCTGGACTTACCTCTGAGATGGTGAGACAGAGATATGCTAATGCAACTTTATCTTGTAAAGGAAAGCTTCGAGGAGATTTAGCCAATCTGCTGGACACAATTCCAAGAGCCTCGGTGGCATTTAGCGGGCTCGCGCTAACCCGGGGCTGCTTGTTAAGACTTCATTAGCTGTGTTTGCTCAGGCCTCTTCTCTCCAAAGAGGTGGAGGAGGGCTCCCCAGGCTCCAGCCTCAGCCCCACTGTAGACACTCCATATGGGGCTTGTTTGCTCACGGCTGGCCTGGTAATCACTTTCAGGTGGAGCTGGAGGAGACAGAGCAAGGCTGAGGGGATTTTGGGGAGAGCTTGAGAGTTGGAAACCTTCCTCCCAAAGACCCGGCCCCAGCCCCCGTCGGCAACCTCCTCTTCCACTGGGGTACTCCTGAGGTGACAGAGCATGGAGCGTGTACCCTGTGAATTAGCTCACCTAGGGCCCATTACCTTAACAAATACAGCCAGCCCCTCCAATCAGTCTACTGCTGGGAGGACAGGCGGCCCCTGTAAATCCTTCCTTACAGCCACTGCCCCTCTCTGTGAGACCAGGAAAGACTTATGTGTGTGTTTGCACGCAGAGTAAAAACTATGAACTGAGAGTCACTCTTGAAACAGCACAAGGTATCTTTTATGATAACAAGAGGTAAAAGCTCGAGAAAACTTAACTTCACTACCCAGAGTTCATAGGACTTGGGATCAGCAACCTGCACACATTGAACTCATGTTTACATACTTTACCAGTCTATGAGGCTTCATACTAAAGGAGACATAAGAGATGCAAAAGTATCCATGCCTGAAACTATCATTTATTTATTTGGGCAAGTAGCAAATAATCTTCCATATCTCATTATATTGCATCCCCTTGTTTTTAAAGGCTCAGTTCACCAAAATTACATAGTGAGGTACCGCTAGTTAATGAGAAAATATGTTTTTTGTGGAAAGTTTTGGATTTATTTGCCCAGGATTTTAGATATCCATCTTTGAAATGTCTGCCTCCAAACCACAGACATTGAATTCAAACTACTTTCTACTGAAGATAGATAATAAACCATTAGAAAACCCGCCGGAATTTCAAACCCCAGCTGAAAAATGCATTGTCACAAAGCAGAAAACGTGTTTTTCCTCAGCTCATGATGCTCTTTTTGGAGATGCCTAGGACAGTGACAGTACCACATAGTAAGATCATATGTCCTTTATAGAGGGTCTAAGGGTTTCATTGAACTTTCTCCAATATGGATGAATGAACAGAGGCGTTAAAAAAAACTATCTGCAAAACTAGACCCCACTAAATGTAAGTGAGGAAATACATTTTTTTGTAATTTGAGTGAACCAACCCTTTAGTGCTGATAACACACAGCATTTTTCATGTTAATGCCAGGCTTAGTTTTAATCCTGTGAGAATATTTAGTTTATAACTGTACCCTATTCATTTCACATAAATAGTAAACAGAATATAAGTTGCTAAACTGCAATGTAAATCTGTTACATAATGTCACCATCTGTAGCATGGTTTACACCTAATGTCTTGAGAAAAGCGGATCCACTGTTCGATTACACCACTAATTAAAAAACAACATCGCCTCCATGAGGAGAATCTGTACCATTCTCCTGCAGCCAAAGAACTGACTGTCGTTGGCTGCCGTCCCTGAGCCAAGTGAGTGTGTGTGTGCGCGTTATCGTGTGATTGTTTGGAGTTTTCAGCCATCCGATGCCACAAGAATCTGGCCAGCCAGCAGAGGCCTGCTTTTGGCTGCTATGACGCCTGCTACTTGACACTCTCGTCAGATTTATCTCCCCTCTTGTAAAACAGCATGCAACTTGTTCTCTCCGTCCAGAAAGGTAAGCGAGCCCAGGGAGATTTCTCCTACTCAGGAAACACACACACACTAGCCCATATAATAGCAGGAGCTGATTTTTTTAACCCCTGCGTGTAACCGGAGCTGAGGCCTGCGTGCCTGGAATGACACATGGGCGGCACTTAAGCAGGTAGACTTGCCATCTGGTTTGAACACATGGGGTGGAACACTTGTCTTTGGATTGTGACGGTGGTAAGTTCATTTTTGTGTTTTGCTGCCTGTCGTTGTTGTAGCACACACCAGTGGGATACTGTGGAGGGGTCGGCCTGGTTGCCTCGGTGCTGATTCTGACCAGACTGCAGAGGGGTCACC